CCACCCAAGACCTTCCTCTTTTCATTCTGTGACCCTTAGCTTTAATGGATTTTATTAGAAAACAAGTGACGTGGTTTGGCTATATAAGCCGGAATCCAGCAAACAGCATACCACAGCAGGCAATGATGTGGAGACAATGCGGAAGCAAAGCACAGGCCGATCTTGCAAATAATGGACGAGGAAATAACAAGTCCTAGGGAATCCTCGTTTACCAATCAACAAATAAGCACTTTTCCTGTAATCTGTAATTCCCCTCGCCACTGCAAGTTACCGGGGGGGGGGGGGGGGTAGACAGACAGAGAGAGATAGATAGATAGATAGATAGATAGATAGATAGATAGATAGATAGATAGATAGATAGATAGATAGATAGATAGATAGATAGATAGATAGATAGATAGATAGATAGATAGATAGATAGATAGATAGATAGATAGATAGATAGATAGATAGATAGATAGATAGATAGATAGATAGATAGATAGATAGATAGATAGATAGATAGATAGATAGATAGATAGATAGATAGATAGATAGATAGATAGATAGATAGATAGATAGATAGATAGATAGATAGATAGATAGATAGATAGATAGATAGATAGATAGATAGATAGATAGATAGATAGATAGATAGATAGATAGATAGATAGATAGATAGATAGATAGATAGATAGATAGATAGATAGATAGATAGATAGATAGATAGATAGATAGATAGATAGATAGATAGATAGATAGATAGATAGATAGATAGATAGATAGATAGATAGATAGATAGATAGATAGATAGATAGATAGATAGATATAGATAGATAGATAGATAGATAGATAGATAGATAGATAGATAGATAGATAGATAGATAGATAGATAGATAGATAGATAGATAGATATAGATAGATAGATAGATAGATAGATAGATAGATAGATAGATAGATAGATAGATAGATGGATAGATAGATGGATAGATAGATGGATAGATAGATGGATAGATAGATGGATAGATAGATGGATAGATAGATGGATAGATAGATGGATAGATAGATGGATAGATAGATGGATAGATAGATGGATAGATAGATGGATAGATAGATGGATAGATAGATGGATAGATAGATGGATGGATCGATCGATGGATCGATAGATCGATAGATCGATAGATAGATAGATAGATAGATAGATAGATAGATAGATAGATAGATAGATAGATAGATAGATAGATAGATAGATAGATAGATAGATCGATAGATCGATAGATCGATAGATCGATAGATAGATAGATAGATAGATAGATAGATAGATAGATAGATAGATAGATAGATAGATAGATAGATAGATAGATAGATAGATAGATAGATAGATAGATAGATAGATAGATAGATAGATAGATAGATAGATAGATAGATAGATAGATAGATAGATAGATAGATAGATAGATAGATAGATAGATAGATAGATAGATAGATAGATAGATAGATAGATAGATAGATAGATAGATAGATAGATAGATAGATAGATAGATAGATAGATAGATAGATAGATAGATAGATAGATAGATAGATAGATAGATAGATAGATAGATAGATAGATAGATAGATAGATAGATAGATAGATAGATAGATAGATAGATAGATAGATAGATAGATAGATAGATAGATAGATAGATAGATAGATAGATAGATAGATAGATAGATAGATAGATAGATAGATAGATAGATAGACGCCATTAAGTTCTGATAAGATTTACATAAATGTGGGACAAGCGGTGGATATCTTTCTGTCTGCACAAAACGTCCCCATACTGTGTGTGTTCAGGCAGGGCTATCGTAACAGGTGAAAGACTATGGGTTTTCAACCAATTAATGTTAAATAAGCATATCATCATTAAAAACCAAGTTTTTTGCAGAACTTTGCTCTGATCACAGTTTGCCTGAAACAAACTCTGTTTATCGCTATCTACCCTTTCTTGTGCTTTCATATTCAAGTAGTCACTTGTATCGTATTTAGGTCACGATCGGCCCCTGTCTCTCTTTCCTGATACCATGCCTTCTGCTATTGATATGACCAAAATATTTCAGCTTCCGAGACATGATACTATTTATTAGCCAACATTCCTTGATGTTCAGCTTTTTAAAATATCAGTATTTCTTCTCCTCTCTGTCCGTGGTATTCTGAGAGTCTTTCTATTGCATTTCAGCTCAAAAGCTTCTTCCTGAAGGACTAATAAGTAACAATACGGAATAATACGGTAACCAAATATGTATTCTAGATTTGTGTGACATACCATGCACTAGTACGACTACACAGCTGGAGGGCGTGTGTGTATTACTGTGTATACGTCTACCTGTGTGTGTTGGTGTGCATGCAGTGAAGATAGCAGGAGGCAATAAGCTGTGTATTGTGGAGGTTTAACTTACTTTAACCGGCTTTTGTGTATTAGCTGTTATAAAGGAATGCGTTCCCCGTGACTTTGATCCATAACACGTGATGTAGTCACGAGGAGCCACTGTGTGTGTTATCTTGCGTTTGAGATTTCTAACAGTAAAACCTGTTCACGGTTTGTGGAAGCATATTTTTAGGTGAGTTCAGTGTCGAAGGCTTGCCTGAAGTGTTGGAAGTAAGTTAAAATAGCATGCCGAATAGTCAAATGTGTATAACTTGATACCCCTATTGTTTCCTTGTATTTATTATTCTTTATTCAATCCATTGCTATTGTTATAGTAAAAATATGCTGTGGAGTCAACTTTGCCCTGTTATCAATAATCAATAATATCAGACGGGACAGACAAGAACCAAGGTGTCTTAATTAAGACGATCAGTATTGAAAAACACATGGTAAAAATTACAGCCACTTATTAAAAGCTTTCAATTCTGTGAATTAAGACGGGTAGTGATATTAAGTTATACTAGTGTTCTATATACTTAAACACTATTTGAAAACCACAACTATCTGAAAACAGGATAATATAATCCCTGCCGTAGGAATGTGAAGTACTTCACGTCTTTGAAACATTATCAGTGAGAGAATTAGCTGTGTTTGTATTTTGCCAACATTTTAAACAAAATGCAGACGTTACAAGGGAAACTCTTTACCGTTATTATTTTAATGTTTGTTTATGCCACATGTCACGTGATGCGCATAAATAGCAACTGGTGGGGTACCCCCGTGGAGATTTCAAAAAACATTGGCAGTTCAGGTTACAGGTGTTGGCTGACACACAGGGAGTCCCTGAAAGAAGTCGTAGGCGCCATTTCCAAGGACACTTGCCAACATGCATTTGGAGGTGACAGGTTCGAATCCCGCTGTTGTTTGCTCATGGTTTGTTAGTTGCGTATCCTTTACAGGACGTTGCAGAACAAACCCCAACAGCCCCTGGCTGTTTTTTTTTATTTTTTTCTAGGTAGTTTTACGTCCATAGTTTGTCATTGCTTTCTGGACGATCGGCTTTCTTGATACCACTGTCGGCCCGGCTCTCTAGCGTAGTTGGTTAATCCTGACTTCGCGGTGACCGGGTGACGAACTCCTTGTGGTCCGGGTTCACTCTCGAGGGTAGACATAAAAGCCACATTTTCTCTCAGATTTACGGTACCTATAATGGAATCAATCCGAAGGGTTGCGAAACTCATGGTTTCTGAAGATACCACTGTCGAAACCAAAGCAAGGCGCATGGCCCGCAGCTGAGATCGAACCCGGCATTACGAAGCGTTCGCCTTTTGCATCGACTTAGTCACAGAGCTGACTGTTTGCTCATGGGGAGGGGGATAATTGGACCAAGCTAAACCTGCTTCTTCTTGGTAAGCCTCAATGGTAACTTAGTCATTGACCTGTCTTGTTTTCATTAAGATCCCACCTGTCTTATAATAATCCTGTAGTTAAATTATTAATCCGAATACAATAACATATATTTTTTCATAGATAAATAATATCATGAAAAGATATCAAACCATATAGAAAGTAGAACTAAGCAGCTTCACATCAATTACAAACAAGTGAGAGTTGCTGCTAAAAAGCCTTCATCAGCACACGACATGAATAGACAGTTTAACATTTACAAACTAAAATACATAGAATCACTTAACTGAGGTCTCTCCAAGAAGAAGAAAGCAAAAACCACCTGTCTGAGTCTGACTGGTCAGTTGAAGCTCTCAGACACTTGTGAATATTGGGAATGACTACTAGCTGGAGCAAGTTGTGCATTGCAAAGGCTGTGTTGGACATTAAGTCCTTTAGACTAATTAGATCTATTAGATAGATAAGGCTTTTCTGAAGAGACTTACAGACTCCTGTCACTAAAGTGGCTTGAACTGATGGCTAGAAGCTCCATGTCGAAGACGTCTCAGTGACCCTGACAACTGAAATGCATTAGCACTGGTTTGAGGGGACCATTTTGCACATCAGAAAGATACTGCCTGAGCCCATCAACTAGTGACAGCCATATTTCAACCAATGTATTTCATACCATATTTGTTTACAGCTGATGATGAAAATGACTTTGCAGCTAAAATAGTTTGGTCCCTCACTTAGAAATAAAACTTAAAAGACGAATTGACAACTAGGAGATTTCAGGGGAAAAGAGGGAGGAAAGACATAAGGTAAAATGGCATGTAGAGGGACAAGTATAGATTCTTAAAACAAGCGATTGGTATTTCAACCAATGTATTTCATACCATATTTGTTTACAGCTGATGATGAAAATGACTTTGCAGCTAAAATAGTTTGGTCCCTCACTTAGAAATAAAACTTAAAAGACGAATTGACAACTAGGAGATTTCAGGGGAAAAGAGGGAGGAAAGACATAAGGTAAAATGGCATGTAGAGGGACAAGTATAGATGGCTGATCCTATGCTCAGGTGATCATTTGATATGGCAGGCCAGGACCATACTTTTAGTAGCATATTACATAATCGTGTTTACTCTTTTATCTCAGTTTGTTTCCTAGACTCCTTTGACTGTTGAATTTCAGTGAATTTTTGTATCATGTGATTTCTTTCAGATAAAATGGCGACACCTTTGCTATGGTTCGCTCACGCTTGTTTGCTGATGGTTGTTCTAATAAAAAGTGGAGATGCTGCTATTCCTAAGCGCAAGCTGGCAATATTTCCAACCACTCAGACTAAAGGTCAGCCATGGCCATTACCCAGAGTGTATAAACCCAGCCCACTAGTATACAGTGTAGACATGGAGAACTTCAGCTTCACAAGTGGAGCTAACGACTGCCCACTGTTAGCAGACGCTTATTCTAGATATTACAAGCTGACTTTTGGTGGCTTTGGGAAGCAAACAAAAAGGTAGGTGCTTTGGCTCTTCCTAAGCTAAATGACCATTGGGATACAATTAAGAATCTACAGTCAGTTAATTTGTAATGGACCAAATATTTGCTGTTGAAAGTAAAAAGTAAATCTGAAAAGGTAATAAACTGGAGTATGGGTAAGAGTATAAAATTCAGGTTTATATTTTATTTTGATGAACAAAGAAAGAATCTTCACAGTTCATAGTTTTAAAATAATTATTTATTAGCCACCCACATTTGATACTTCATTTCGGTGTCCTATTATAACAGCTATACTTAGTAGAACAGGGCTTCTTTAAATTTGTATATGGTGATTGTGACTGACTCCCAGAGCATGCTGAGAAAGGTGGAGATGTGTATGGTCCATGCAAAATGGGAAGTATCACTGAGTGGTTAGTGTTCTTTGAATATTTTCTCTGAGATGTGTTGGAAAATGAACAGGCAAATAGAATGGCTAGTTTTGGACCACTTGGTTGTATATAATAGGAATGTCCCATGTACTATGATGTCAGTTATTAACTCATAACTCTTCAATTTATTACTGTTCAATTCCTATCTAACTAGTGTCCCCTTGAGTCACCAGGTGTCAATCTGTTAGGCAGTAATTGTGGAAGGATTTTTTTTTTTATATGAACCAAACAATATGTTTACAATACTTGTGTGTTAGTTAAGAAACCTAAAAAGTGATAAAAAGTGCTCTGATGCCAGATCATTGGTAACCCATTTAAAAGTAAAGTAAGAATCTGACTCCTTTTCATGCTATATTTTTTTAACTATAAAATATGATGCTACTAGTTCCATACTTTTAGGCCAGTCATTTGCCTGGTTGCATAACTAATTTACTAACCTTAAAAATAAACTGAAAACCCACACAGACTAGCATTTCTTACATACAATTCTGCTAGTTCTGGGAAGACAAAGAAATAACATATTTTGTCTGTTTTATAACATATTTTGTCTGTTTTTAATTGTATATTTGTTTATGCAATTTTTTTCATTTCAAGTAGAAGCTATCATCTGGATCATAATTACAAAAGTAATGTTTGTAATGTAGGAAGATGTTGACCAAACCTGGTTGGATTTTAAGAATATAAGTTAAACCGCTGCAGAAGAATGTCTTGGCAATTTAAAAATCAATAATAAATAGGAAAATCAAACGAACAGAAACATAGAAGTGCTTGGGTGCAAACTTTGACTGCTCCAACATACTAAGAGAAGAATTACAATCTGCAAACAAAATATACTATGTCCTTCAACATCTGCTAAAGTCATAGTCTCTATCTCACAAGACCAAAATCAAAATGTATAAATTATTAAGACCAGTCATTTTTAATGGCTCTGAAACTTGGAGCACAACTAAAAGAGATGAAGCCTTATTACAAATTTTTTAAATAGTCTTACGATAAATCTTTGGACAGATCAAAGATGCAAACAGAAGAGAACGGAAAGTAAGAAGCAACAATGAAATTCATAGTCTGTTTAAATCACCACTGATCACTGGCATCAATAGGGCTAAGAGAATAAAATGGTTGGGGCATATTGAGAGAATCTCAGATGACAGAGAGGTAGCAACTGTATACACAAGGGAGTTTAATGGTCATAGACCATGAGGCAGACCAAGAAGACGAAGAAGAGATAATACCTAGACAGACCTACAAACACTCAGTATAACCCACTGAAAATAGAAGGCTAACCAGAGAGGTGAATGGAGGTGGGTGATATCTGAAGCAATAAACCTCAAGGGCTCAGAATGCCGAAGAAGAAGGTTTGTAATAAAATAACCAGATCTTAGATAACTCTTTCAGTCTGAAGTAACTCACCGTGCATTTCTCAATTTCTTAAATGCTGTAATTTTTTTTTAAACTCATTATGCACCAGTCATTTAATACACTGACACAGTCTGCACTTTGGTTACTTTAACCCTTTCTGTAACATATGTGTTTATGTTTCAGTTACTCCAGATAGAAAACTTTATTAGTTATTAGTCACAATTTCACAAGTAACAATTTCTGATGACATAATTAGTTTAGCATGTTCCTGGGGCTGAAAGAGTTAAAGTAATCGTTCATAACATAAGAGTTTTGGTAATAACGATAACTAAAAGGCTAGGGTAAACTAGATGGAGCAGGAGTTATACTATGAAGTTATCAGAATTATTGCTAATATTTTCTCATATTCATCAGATACAGTTCTCTGAGATTTCATCCAGAAATAAAAGTTGCCGGAAGTTTGAATGTCTTGAGTGTTATAGTTCAAACTCCATGCACTGGTAAAATCTACCCAACTCTTCAGTCAGACGAGTCATGTAAGTATTTTCCTACCATGAAATCTATTCTATAAAAGTAACAGTAGTCCTTGAGCAAACATTGCTATTAACACACTTACTACAAAGCCCTTTAACTCTTGCATTTTCCCAGATACCACACATTTTAGTGTGTACTAAAAATGGCCACAGCTTCACAAGTATTTAACACACACTTATCATATTTTGTATTTTTGCACCAAATTAAATAAAGAATACATTGCAAAAAAACAGAAATGGTTTATTTTGTTTGACATCATCATTATCATGTGCTGTAGATATATTGAAAAAGGGCAACCGAAAAATCTTACATCTGACAACAGCACAGATTAATAAAAATGCCAAAACTTCACAACCATTCAACATACACTTATCACATTTTGTATTTTTTTGCACCAAATTAAATGGAGAATACATTGCAAGAAATAAAAATGAGTTTATTTTGTTTGAACCCTTATATGTTGTAGATATTGTGAAAAAAGGCAATGCAAAAATGTTTTATTTGATGACAATATAGACTAGCAAAATTGCAGTAACTTCCCAACCATTCAACATTTACTTTTCACATTTTTTATTTTTCCACCAAATTAAATGCTGAACAAATTGCTAGAGAAAAAGATTGGTTTATTTTGTTTGACATTGTCATGATCTGGCTGTAGTTATAGTCGGGGAAAAAAAATGATCCGAAAATTCTTTTATCTGTCAACAACACAGACTAAATTTCATGACATGCATTCAATATCAGTGTAATTTACAAAAAAAAAACAAAGTGAGAAATACATACCACTCTCGTTTATCACATTTTACGGCCAAGATGTGTCAGAAGTATTGTACAGTTCATAGCATCTCTCAATACAAAGTGGGACCTGACATTTCCTTCAGCAGTAACTTGTCATGGTCCATTTAAAATCTTTTTTATTTGTGGATTCTTTAATTAATTTTTTCACCATACACACTGTGAACTTTCTTTTGTAAATGGGGGTACTTCAGAAAAGCCTTGCAAATCACAATGCCAGTCATCAACCAGTGGGGGGAGGGGGTGTGTGTGTGGCAAATCTTCCTCAGACTCATCAGATGATGATGAAGATTCTGCATCGTAAGCGTCAGTGATATCTTCATCATGTGTGCAGACACAGACACATCTTCAGAATCTACAGGCTCTGAATGAATATTTTCACTAGAACTATCAGTATCTGAAACTGCTGCACTAGTGTTTGCTACGGAAGGTGTAACTGCCAGTTGAGTGTGGACTTTGAAGCGACATGCTGTTGCACTGTTGATGATGTTTTCGTGGCACTTCGATAGATTTCTCAAAGCCAGAGTCATCACACTGTTTATTAATATCTTCATCTTCACTTTCCAAAGAAAAGAAAATCAAGAATATCAGTGAAGCAACAAAAAAATTATTAAAAATGAGCACCCTGATCGCTTTGAGAATTTGACTTGTCAACGACATGGGGACTGACAGTGAAAATTCATCAAATATTTAGTATAAGCGCTGTAAAGTTGCTTCCCTTATTTGATATAGAAAAATAATGGGGTAAAAGCTACAACCAAATTCATCACAAAAATCAAGATTTTTAACATGAGGGCGAGCATCTAAAGCTACCATAGCAAAGAGTGCGAAATTGGCAGCAACAAGTTAATGTCATCTTGTCGCATAACATGTGACATGGGCAGTCAGTGGGTTAAGGGAATGAATGTTACACTTTGTTCTAGGCTTCTACATGATGTGGGGGTGACAATTTTTTTTTTCATCACCATTCCTTCCCAGAAAGTGTATGTTGTCCATCTGTTCCTTTTGGAGAGAGAGAGAGATCATGATGCATTAACAACACATTGTCTCTGCAATCCTCCCCAGGCTTTGTGCTATGGTGAGGCCCCAAAATCCCATGCTCTTACTGTGAAGGACTTTTCTTAAAGCAGTCTGGTCTTTTTAGTCACATTCACCATCCCCATGGGCTGTGATTCTCATGCTTCCCCATAGCCCAATATAACATTCGACTGGAAAGACAGAAAGGGGCCAACGAAAGAAAACAATCTGTTGCTTAGCATCCTTATGCCATTCTTGTAGTTTAATTGAGGGATGGGCAGTGGGATTTAGCAGGTTCTGTTATCATTAGTAGACAAGCTGTTGAATGCTCTGTCTCTTAATAAATGGTGTTGCTCATACCTTATCTTTGATGCCATCAGTTCTTCAGTTCCTTTGGTTACTTTGGTAATTCTTTCTAGCAAATCCATTTCCCCTCTTGCTTGAGCCTTGTAGTTTTGACGTAGGCTAAAATAATTCAGCTTACTATAAAGTGTGTTGTTTTCACATGAACTCCGTAGTCTTGATTTGTCTACTTAGACCATCATCATCAGTTTTCACTTCTGCCATTAGGTGTCATGGGAAGGAACAGTTTGCGATCTGTTGCTCGATGGACAGCAATGGCTAATGTCATTCCAGGTCGACGTAGAAACTCTTTGTCATCAGTATATATTCTCTCATGGGTCATAAAGCAAGTGTCAACATTTAACGTTTTCCATTATCATCTGTCCTCAGACGTGAGTCATAGTGATGTACTGACTAACACAAACATTAATAATTATAAAGTCCTTTGTTTATCATCTAGGGTAGCAGCCAACCTAATGACACTGATTCTGTTGCTAGAACCATGTTTATCATCAAGGGTAGCAGCCAACCTAATGACACTGATTCTGTTGCTAGAACCACATGTTTATCATCAAGGGTTGCAGCTAACCTAATGACACTGATTCTTTTGTTAGAACCACATGTTTATCATCAAGGGTAGCAACCTAATGACACTGATTCTGTTGCTAGAACCACATGTTTATCATCAAGGGTTGCAGCCAACCTAATGACACTGATTCTGTTGCTAGAACCACGTTTATCATCAAGGGTAGCAGCCAACCTAATGACACTGATTCTGTTGCTAGAACCACATGTTTATCATCAAGGGTAGCAGCCAATCTAATGACACTGATTCTTTTGCTAGAACCACATGTTTATCATCAAGGGTAGCAACCTAATGACACTGATTCTGTTGCTAGAACCACATGTTTATCATCAAAGGTTGCAGCCAACCTAACGACACTGATTCTGTTGCTAGAACCACATGTTTATCATCAAGGGTAGCAATCTAATGACACTGATTCTGTTGCTAGAACCACATGTTTATCATCAAGGGTAGCAACCTAATGACACTGATTCTGTTGCTAGAACCACATGTTTATCATCAAGGGTAGCAACCTAATGACACTGATTCTGTTGCTAGAACCACATAAATAATCATTGAAACAGTTAATATGGATGCTCATATTCTTGAATAGTTAGATGCTTTAACCAAATTTTTTTTTAAACAGATAATCTGACTGTGGGACCAACTCTTGTCCTGCAAGCTAAGGAGATCTGGGGAGCTTTGCGAGGGTTAGAAACTTTCAGTCAGCTTGTCTATCGTTTGGAATCTGGAGAAGTAAGTTTGATGTTTGCAATACATTTTTTACCAAATGTTTGCTGTACAATAATTCTAAAGCTAATAAATATATCAACTAGTAAACTCAAAATTCTTAAGGATACTTTTAGAACTAATTAATTTTGCAGGAAACAATGTTGTCATTATATGTTTACACATAAATTAGTTTCTGGATTCAAGATGGCAGACAGCTGGCTGACCACTGATGCTCTGAAAAAATTGTTTCTAGCCAGGTTTTATTGATTCAAATTCCCCATTTCTGGTCTAAGAGTCCAAAGGTTCCATCTATCAGCTACTGAGTTGAGTGCTCAGTGTGACATTTCTGGGTTTTGGATTTCGTGTGAAATCGATTTTTCCCTATTGTGCCGACAGTATCTTTGCCTAGTGAACTGCACTAAAAATTGTGGGTGGCTGATTATGTTCTGGATTGTATGTACTTATAACGTTTTGTATAGTCATTACTGGTTTTTGTAACTGACTGCTTGCATTAGCAATTGGCTGCAATTCTTGCATGAAACTGTTAATGTTTGCACATTTTATGGCTGACTTATGCATTTTATTTTGCATGCGCAAGCTTCAAGATTTTTCTGACACTGACACATCTTTCACTAGTTTTCAAATGGGACAGTGAAGTACATTTTGTGTGATTTCCACTGGCACAGCAACAGGGCAGTTATAGGGTGACCATTCTGCAGTGAAACTGTAACCTTAACTAGTGACTAAGATCATTGATTCATTGTAGATGTATAATACAGTGTGTGTTTCTGTGTCGACAGTTTGTCATCAATCAGACATTAGTCCAAGATTTTCCTCGATTTGCTCACAGAGGACTTCTTCTGGACACATCTCGTCATTTTGTCTCAAAGCATTATCTTTTAAGAACATTGGTAAGTTTAACATTGATTTCGCTTACTTTTAGCTTATGAGAGAGCTGAACTTGTGTATGCATGTGTTGGGATGTGATGTGGGGGGAGATCCTCTAACAAAACTAATTACTGAGTTTTATGTTTAACTTTTTTTTTTTTTCAGTTTTAATTAAACCTTTTTTATACTTAGTAGTTTACTTTATAATAGCAAATATTTAGGTCTTCCAGGCTGGTCTGAAGTAATAACACTAATGAAACTGGGGCACTTGAGCAGTATCTCGAATATATATGAGATATTGAAGCCATCTAGAAGGGAAGAAATGAGAAGTATGTCTTGCAGTGGATCTCCAAAATGCACACAGCAAGTTACTTGGTGCGCACACATACACAGAAAACATGCATACACACGTACGTAAGTACGTACAAAGACAACATAGAATTTTCTCTCTTCTGTTTTGGTGATTTCTAAGTTATATTTACTTTGTTTTGATCCCACTGTTTAAACACAAATTATTAATTCCACTCTGTATTTGCATTGACTATGCAGTAAATGTTTACTCTGAATGCATTTGAACTTAGAGGTGAAAGATGAACATGCACTTTTGTTGTTGTTTTCTTTTGCACAGGATGCCATGGCACAGAACAAGTTGAATGTGTTCCATTGGCACATTGTTGATGATCCATCTTTTCCATACATCAGCCAAGCTTTCCCAAACCTTAGCTTAAAGGTGGAGTTCTATTTTTATTATTTTCTGTATCAAGTCATGACACATATATTTAGATAGGTGTACACACATGTACATCCTATTTACAACATACAGCTGTGAAGCCTGGACAATTAATAAACAAGCCGAACAATATCTTGAGGCCGGGGCGATGTGGTTTTACAAAAGAATCCTTAGAAAACCTTAGACAGCTAAGAAGAGCAACTCAGATGTTTTGAAAGAGGCAATGCTTGAAGACAACTTATCACAAACATCATAAAAAGACGGTCATCATTTTTTGGTCATGTTTTTATCAGATGAGGGAATAATAGAACATGTTGTGACCGCCGGAAAGATTTGTGGAAAAAGAGACAGAGGAAAACAGCCTGAGAAGATTCTTGACAGTCTTTTGTGATGACATGAGGCATGGACTGGCAGATGTGTGGCATGATCGTCTACATCAGAGGCACTTGTATATACACACCCCCAGTCCCCCACCCCAGATCTATTTGTTGCTATGTTTAGTTGTGGGAGAGATCTTTTTGTGTGGCATGATCGCCTATGTCAGTTGGCAAGACACTTGATGATGACAAAGATTTGCGCCTCTTCCCCCTTTCCTTTTCCTCTATCTGTTACAATGTTTAGTTGTGGGAGAGATCTTTTCTCACCGCCAGTGGTTGTCAGATGACAAGGCAGCGGCCTTTGCGAAGGATGGGATGCAACAAACCCTCACTGATCCAAGCGGTGTGTGAGTGAGTGAGTGAATGAGAAAAAGAAACAGATAGAAACTAATTTTGAGCTTTACTTTTCTGCTCTTCTATTATTTTTCTTTTATTGCCCTTGCCATATGGCGTTGGTAGTCATATTTATTCACAACCTTCTGCCTTGTCAGCTTTCAGTCATTTCTGACACAGATGATCTTTCATTCCATGATGTCAAACTGTCCAGCATCTGTTCTCTCGGTCTGCCTCTCCTCCCTTCCCTTTACCCACTGTCACAATGCACTCCAGTTTTCTCCTTCTCATCACATGACCGAAGAATTTCGATTTTTTTTTTTTTTTAGGGAGCATTTAATCCAGAAAGTCATGTGTACACACCAGCAGATGTTGCAGAAGTGATTGAATATGCTCGTATTCTGGGAATTAGAGTCTTGGCTGAGTTTGACACACCAGGTATTTATTATTGTGTGACTAAAAATAATGTATGCATTTACCATTTAACCAATGAATACAAGTACAATTGCCACTCTCATCCCAAACTGCTGGAAAGATTTGAATTCCCATTACCAGTTCCTAGGTCGACCCAGCCTCAAATGGGTACCAGGATGGGCTGTCCTGGGAAAGTAAAAACGCCGGCATAATGTGACCACATTACCCACCGAGTGTCTAGGTATAAAAATATGGGTGCTCTTCCCATTTTCCGATGCGCCTCTATCTTTACTTTACTCAGTTCCTAAGCCCTTAAGAACCATGGTGACTTTAATCTTTTTCCAAACTTGTTATTCAGTTTGCCTCTTCTTTTTTTTTTTTCTCACCAAGGACGACTGACATCAGACTATCTCCTCCTATAAAAAACTAGCTTCAAAATGCACCCTGCCATTATTAGGGTTTGGCATGAGTGTTGAGAACCTATGCTCAGTTTGAAGATGAAAGGCAAAAGCTCTACACCAGAGCAGATCTGCATGTGTTTAAAATCAAATTCCTCCTTATCACGTTTAGTATTCTTGTAAACTGTTAGTAATTCCCCATTTGATAAGCCACCAGTAAACCTTTGGTACAAGGGACAATCTGAAAGTAATGCCACTCATTGTTTTCTCATCAAATAAAGCAGGTATTTGTAATTTTGCACACTTCAAATTTGACTTGCCTGTATTGTATGTATGTAACGGCACCACATTCCAACAAAAAGAACAACTGCACTAATCCATCAAAAGTGGTCTAGAGGGCAATGTGAATTACAAACAGCATAATGTTACAGAATTTCTGATTGCAGAAAAATGAACTGGTGAACATTCATAAATGTATGGTTTGTTTGCTGTGTATGGAAGATGTGCAGTAGTTAGAGGCATGTTGGTCTCTTGGTTCAGAATGTTAACGCTTCAGAAACTGGAGAGTTGGACATGCTTGATTTATTGCTCTCTTGATGCCCCGCCATAGCTACAAGCCAAGATATGATGAAACATGTCTTTCGAGTCATTGATGACATGATAAGGCAGCTGATAGATGTGATATTCTCACCAACTTTGTGCTATCAGTGTCAGACATGGATAGCTATAGAAAAACAATAGCGCACATTTACATGTGTGATGAGATGTTTGAGAAATGCAAAGGGAAAAGCAAGAAGAGACAGAAGCATCAATGAAGAACCAAACACAGTGGTAGGCACAGTACTAGTAAATGATATCATATAACATCAAACAATCCAATGATTTGGTCATCTGGTCTGAATGGAACAAAACCAGCCACCGTCTGCAGTGTACTACAGGAGAACAGCAGGTTACTAGACAAGACAAGAAGAAAGAGGTGGGAAGCAAAAGAGATGCAACAGAATTCTAATATAACATTAACACAAGCTATGCAACTAGCAAAAGAGGAAAACTACATCTAACTCTTCACTGCGATACTTTACAGCATAAGCAGTAGGACAAAAGAAGAATATCGTATCATTCTTCTGGATGTGTTGCCAAGAAGTGAGACAACTAATTCAGATGAACGAACAGGCAGACAGATTGGCTAGATCCGCACCACTTGGTGGTGTATTGATACTTGACAAGGCAGATGTGGTCAAGGCTCTTTGGGAATAAGCAACCAAATCAGTAGAGAAAGAAGATTATTATGGCCTGGAGAGAATAAGACACCTGGGTGTAACCAGAGGGTCTGGCCGGCTCACTACACTCAGGAAAGGCAAGACGGATATTTAACCAGATTGTGTCCGGTACCATCAGTATTGGAACTCTGCTCTGGCTGCTGAAGATGAGGACGGAGCATGCATAGGATTGCCCCGAGTGCTGTGATGTCAATTCTTGACTCAACACAACATTCATTCAGAAGCCTACATGAAGACTCAAACAAAATTCAATATTCAGTTGCTCAGAGTTCAGGAAAATTGCAACATAACTGTTTCTCAGAGAGAGAAACAAACAATGCACGACCACACATAAGTCAGAAAACTTTGAAAGCAATCAACAAATTAAGTTGGCCTCTACTCCAGCAACTGCCCTATAATTGTAATTTATCTAATTCAGATTTTCATCTCTTTGGTTCACTTAAAATTCACTCCATTTGACAAGTTTATAATAAATGATGAGGATGTTATTGATGCTGTGAATAAATTACTGTGAGCGAGATCAAAAACGCGAGGTGTATAGCATTGTTCACAATGTTTTTTTGCTTTACAGCACAGTTACTGGGGTTCAGTCTTTCATTGATAAGGACTTTTCTCAAAGTTACTGGGGTTCAATCTTCAATTAATAAGGACTTATCTTAAAGTTACTGGGGTTCAGTCTTTCATTGATAAGGACTTTTCTCAAAGTTACTGGGGTTCAATCTTCAATTAATAAGGACTTATCTTAAAGTTACTGGGGTTCAGTCTTTCATTGATAAGGACTTTTCTCAAAGTTACTGGGGTTCAATCTTCAATTGATAAGGACTTTTCTTAAAATACTGGAGTTCAATCTTTGATTGATAAGGACTTTTCTTAAAGTTACTGGGGTTCAATCTTCAATTGATAAGGACTTTTCTTAAAGTTACTGGGGTTCAATCTTTCATTGATAAGGACTTTTCTTAAAGTTACTGGGGTTCAATCTTTAATTGATAAGGACTTTTTTTAAAGTTATTGGGGTTCAATCTTCAATTGATAAGGACTTTTCTCAAAGTTACTGGGGTTCAATCTTCAATTGATAAGGACTTTTCTTAACGTTACTGGGGTTCAATCTTTCATTGATAAGGACTTTTCTTAAAGTTACTGGGGTTCAATCTTTGATTGATAAGGACTTTTCTTAAAGTTACTGGGGTTCAATCTTTCATTGATAAGGACTTTTCTTAAAGTTACTGGGGTTCAATCTTCAATTGATAAGGACTTTTCTTAAAGTTACTGGGGTTCAATCTTCAATTGATAAGGACTTTTCTTAAAGTTACTGGGGTTCAATCTTTAATTGATAAGGACTTTTCTTAAAGTTACTGGGGTTCAATCTTTCATTGATAAGGACTTTTCTCAAAGTTTCTGGGGTTCAATCTTTCATTGATAAGGACTTTTCTCAAAGTTACTGGGGTTCAATCTTTCATTGATAAGGACTTTTCTTAAAGTTACTGGGGTTCAATCTTCAATTGATAAGGACTTTTCTTAAAGTTACTGGGGTTCAATCTTCAAATAAGGACTTTTCTTAAAGTTACTGGGGTTCAATCTTCAATTGATAAGGACTTTTCTTAAAGTTACTGGGGTTCAATCTTCAAATGATAAGGACTTTTCTCAAAGTTACTGGGGTTCAATCTTCAAATGATAAGGACTTTTCTCAAAGTTACTGGGGTTCAATCTTCAATTGATAAGGACTTTTCTTAAAGTTACTGGGGTTCAATCTTCAATTGATAAGGACTTTTCTTAAAGTTACTGAGGTTCAATCTTTAATTGATAAGGACTTTTCTCAAAGTTACTGGGGTTCAATCTTTCATTGATAAGGACTTTTCTTAAAGTTACTGGGGTTCAATCTTCAATTGATAAGGACTTTTCTTAAAGTTACTGAGGTTCAATCTTCAATTGATAAGGACTTTTATTAAAGCAGTGGTCATTTTTAACGATTTGCTGATAATTAATATTCAGTCTCATAAAATGTTGCTTTTTCTAAGAAAAAAGTGAAAGGGAAAGGAGCTAGCCACCGCATCTCATAATGCTGTGGTATACAGGTGTTGATATATGTTATTACCTACTTCTGCAGTTGTATCTGTTGAGAGAAGCTAATGTGGTCAGTCCCCATCATCAGCAGCCACAGAGAGTTTCATTTTTAGCATACCAGTAGCAGTCTGATGATATGTCACCTTCAATATCTCTGCTTCCCCTGTGTGGGTTCGGGGGCCCTATTGTGGGGAAAATAAGAATAGACCCACTGCCTTCCCAACAAGCATGTCGTAAGAGTAAACTAATTGCCGGCTTTCTTCGAAGTCAGAGTGCATCAGCCTGAGAGACAAGGAACCAACAGTGTGCATACAATTAAGTAAGATTATGTTAAACGGAAGAGCACACAACACTCAGGTTCTGAAACAAGACTAAAGTCCAGAAGTGGACAAATAACCAGAACCAGAGTTTATAGCCTGTGAATGCGAAGAAGAAGAAGAATGTATCTGCTATTGGATACCCTATGTATGTATATTTTTACATTGTATAATCACCCCTTGTAACATCTTTATATCTGCTACACCTTCCACTGTTGACTTCGGTCAGTCTCAGGCTGACTTGTAAAACATTTTTCAGCTTATTTTTCTGATTCAGTCCTCTTCTTCTTCTTTGTGTTTAGTTTCATATGCTCAGGTCAGACCATCAGGTGGGTTGCCTCAATGAACTCGCATGTCAGCAGCAGGTCCTTCTTAGTTCCCCATAGCTTGCTCTGGACACTTTTCTATTGAGGCCGGGTGTCTTTTTGAAGTTGTAGGTAGAGTGGGCAGGTCTGCAGAATGTACTCAGGTGTTTGTGGTCCTTTTTCTGCTCTTTTTGCCCCCATTGAAACATAGGGCCTCAACCAACTCACTCTAGATGGTCCTTTCATTTGCTGTTGCGTGCACCTCACCCCATGTCATCCCTACCTTTTTTAATTCACTCTCTAGCTCTCTTTCGCATGTGTCTTTCGGTCTGCTTTAATTCCTGTGTCCCTGTTGGTTCCTATGCAAAGACATTCCAGTAATACTCTTCTCAGGTTTTCTCATCATTTGTTCTGTCCAAGGCTAGCATCTTGTCTTCGCACTGTGTCATCATCACTCTTCTATAAGAAGAGCCTCCCTCATCTTGGCTGGCTGGGTATATTACTTGGTTCTCTTTTTAACTTCTCCATAATTTGTTGGTTTTTGTGGTGGTTTTTTTTTTTTAATGGAAGAGGTAGACAATCTATAGCCCAACCCTATCCTTAGTCACCTTTTACATCATCATGCTTGTTAGGGCACTGCGTTACCATTCTTTGTTTCTCACTTGGGCCTCCTGAACACATGGGTGCTGGAAACTTAGGCCAAGTTTGCCTTCATACAAATTTAAACCCAAGATTTTTGGATGGCAGGTAGCCGCATTGCTACTGCAGCTCTAAACATTTGTATGTAACCCTCTGTCATTCAACAGGCCCTTTTTCTCCTCTCCAAAAACTTTTTTTAAAGTAATCTATTTGGTCTGCAAATAAGATGAGATTTTATGTTTCTTCAGGACACACAGAGTCTTGGGGCAAAGGTCAGCCAGGGTTACTCACTGAGTGCTTCTCACAAGGTGGCTTTAACGGAAACTATGGACCCATAGATCCCACTAAAAACACCACATATTCATTCCTGTCCACATTTTTTAATGAAGTAAGCCAAAATTTTCCTGATCATTACGTTCATCTAGGAGGTGATGAGGTTTCTTTCACTTGTTGGTAAGCATGTTACTAAAAAATATGTGTTAAAAGACCTGTTATTGTGTGTTGTAATAATTATTTTGGGATCATTGTCACTGAGTTTTATAGCTTATTCAGTTATCATTTAGTTACATTTGTACTGATTTACAAAGAAAGCAATTAATTCTACAGTAAAATGTTTGCTTTCAGATTTTGGAGTTTTTTTTCTGGCAGGTTTATTGACTATGGTGACAGGGCCTGCAGAAACATTCGTAGTAGGACTAACAGGAGAAACAAATAAGAATATACTGAAACAGTACACAATGTAGCAGTTAACATGTTCTTATACTCCATAACTCACTGCTGGTTTTACAAATCCTCATGCAGCACTCCTGCCACATGTCTTTTTCATACGCTATGGATAATGGTCTATATTTTTCTAATCCAAACTGGCAGAAGGTCTCGGAATTGGTGGCTTGGTAGCTCCCAGATACCCTCTGGTACTTGTCAGCCCATTCCCTATGCATGGGTGATAACATGATCAAAAACTCATTTTGAACAGGTGAAGTCTGCTGACCGAGTACCAGTCTAAATTACCAACTCAGTTATAAATTCTGTCACTCTAAAAGTCCTACTATATTACTTTTTTCAAATCTCTTTCAGTCAAGACTTTTACTGTATCACTCAGATTAAAATGTCCATCTGCAGTGTGTCCTACAATATGGCAACGGTTCAGATGTTCCTGGCCAAAGATCCTACTGTATGACACATAATGTTCTGATACCAATGGCCACATCCATTTGAGCATAATGACCACACAGAGAATCCATCCCCAATGCATGCTTTCCATAATTGTCAACAACAACTAAAGCCCCATGGGACATTCATGTGAACAGTACCATTTGTCATAGAGAAAAGTATGACATGCTGTGGAGCTGAGATGCCCTTAAAGTCAGGGAATCAGGGTCTAAAGTCTGCCAATTGCTTCCAGGGGATCCCTAAAAGGCCAGCCTAAAATGAGGGAAAGGCTCATTAAACACATGTGAGGTTCCTCAGTCATGTGCAGAATGTGACGATTCTTTGAGTGAGCCCAGTGCAATGTAATGGCTCAGCATTTTCAGAAGCCTCCTTGTGTTATGGGATTGGCCATGATCTGCCACTGTCTTTTCTTAAAAGTGAACAAATCTGCACATGGGTGCACTGGATGGGGTTCTTCAGGGACACCACCTGTGAATCAGGGGATGACAGAGTCATCACTAATATGAGGCTAAAAATGTCAAGCAAAACTAACCTGAATAACAAATGCCTGAAGAAGATGTGTTGACCAAAATGAACAAATACCACAGCTATGCTGTAAATAAGCACAATGCTTAATGTTACTTGTGCAAACAGTGAAGAAGAAGAAAATTAAATATATTGTTAGAGCTAAAATACTAGAGCTGATGTCTTATAAGTTTAGTCAGAGTTTTATTATGCCAGGTTGCTAACGGTGAGTGGTCAAGTAAATGAGACTATTATAACTGAAAGCATTTTTTAAAATATATTACTATTTTTTTTTTACTCCACAGGGAATCTAATCCATCAGTTAAAAAATTCATGAAGAATATGGGCTTTGGCACCAACTTTGCCAAACTTGAGGAGTACTACATGCAAAAGTAAGAAATACTTTCACAGCATACATTTTGAGTCACAACTGAATGCTGTTTTCAAGAAGAATAGTTAATTTTAGATCTGTTTACTTTTTTTTTTTTTTATGCTTCATTTTCTGGAAATCCAGATGATTTATTTGCACAATCATCTATTGAATATGAAAGTAACCAATATTGTTTACCAATGAGTCACGTGGAGTGTAATGAAAAGGTTCATACGTTTTAGCACCAGCAAGCACAGGAACTGAAGTTTCACTGTGGTTTGATGTTTGCCTGAAGATCTTGTGTTTGATTTAACATTAGGCAGATTTTTTTAAATAAATGATCCCAAGCTTTTGAGTGGATCAAGTCTATAATGGGTGCCAGCCGGGACGTAACTTAGGAAACAAAGATGGCTGACGCATATAGAACACAGTACATATCATGTTCTGACTGGTCCATGAAAGTAGGAGTCTATCACCAATGGAGCAGTAGTGGAAAGGGTCTTTTTTTTTCAAGTACGGAATGTAATGTACAGTAATCATGCACAGCATTAGTACACTTGTAATTCATTAACTTCTAAATCCTAAACATTTTCACACACAAAAATAATCTTTTAGTTTTTATAGAATATGTATATTCCTATTTAACATTGTTTTCAGACTTCTTGAGATTGTTGGGGGCTTGCAGAAAGGTTACATTATCTGGCAAGAGGTCGTGGACAATGGTGTGAAGGTATGCTCCCTTTAATTAAACAGTGTCAATCTACTAAAAATGCACTAGATTGTTGTATGTACACAAATACAGGAAATCTCTAAACAGATACTGTTGCATAGTATGTGAGGTATCAAACTTTAACATACATCATCATCATGCTGTGCTATTTATTGTCACCTTTGCTCTGTCAGTTCCTCTATTCAATTCTATCCCCTCAAAAACACACGTGGAATGCCTCTGGCACTCCAATGGAATGCATATGGCACCTTAAGGCTCTCTTTTTTTAACACTGTAAGGTTTCTCTTTACAAACATTTATTAACTGCTACCTGCACAGAACAGAGGGAATTGAATAGTATAATACAATTACTAATTGTGAGCTCTGGGAGAGAAAAACAAATTCCAGTGAAGAAGAGGTGGTGGACACACTTTGAGAAAACCTAATACACTATAACTATAATGTCTTTGCACTGGAACCTACAAGGAAATAGAAATACAGGCAGGCCAAAACACACTTGGAGAAGGGAGTTAAAAATATAGGGAGGGCATGGACTGTGCTGCATGCAATAGCAAAGGATATAAGATGACTTGGCGTGAGTTTTTGAAGGCCTGTGCTCTATGGGGTGAAAAAGGCAGCAAAAGAAGGTTTCTCCTGCATGTCTTTACTTATTCTGGCCATTTATTTTCAATTTCAGTGCCTTTTTGTGATTCTTTGGTGACTTCATCTCAGAATGTCATAGATTTTGCATCTTCTTTCTTTTATAACTGTTGATATCAGTGGTTGCACAGGCTTCTGACGTTTTTTTTCCCTCACTTTTTAACTCTTCGAGTCCCAAGGAACGCATCATATATGTTCATAGTTTCCTACCTAGAAGCCCAATTAGTACATGATATGCCAATTTTATATCTCTGCTACCCCTTGGGCCTGTGATGCTTAACCCACTGGGACTCAAAAGGTTAGGAATTTATTACCCTAAAAGTCCACACTCACACATGTTGTTCATGTAATCTGTGAGTTCTGATCCTTTTACCATCATACAAGTAATTGTGTATAATTTGTTATAATCATCATTGTCCTGTTGTGCCATTATATGTCACATGGGGCTCGTTGTCTATTCCTCCCTTCTGATCTGTCCTGTCCAGTCTTTTTGATATCATGGAGGGATCCAGTCTAGCACCTTTTGCCTCTCTCAATCAACATTTGTTGTAGGGTTTCTCTTGGATGTTTTCATATCCATCTATTTGTTTCCCATTTCAGTTACTGTTTGCTGATTCTGTGCTAATTTTTTGTCATGATGTGCCCTATATAATGCCCTCTTATGTTATAACTGTTGATACCAGTGGTTGTCTGGACATTTCTCTTATTTACCTTTCTTGCATTCATCCTATGTAAGGATTGCTCAGGCATTTGTTTTTGAATGCATTCAGAATCAGTAATACAGGGTTTTTCAAAATCATAGATACACTTTCAAAAAGTATATTTCTTTGAATGTACATTACACTTAATTATATATATATATAAGAAAGAAAAAGGTCTAAAGTTTACAAACTTACAGGAGAGGTTATAGATGTTCAAGATGGCCACCACCGTCTGCCGCTTGGCTAACATCAAAGTGTTAGACGAACTCATCCCACACACGAAGAAGCATCTCTTGCCTAACAGAGTTCACTGCAGCTGTGATATGGTGGTTGGCTTCGTAACTGTGCTGTAGCGCAGAAACCTTTTTGAAACGTTTGACCTTCCCCTCTCTCTTGTATGTATATTATTATATCTAATGTTTTTTCAATATACATGAATGAAAGTGTTTCAATAATTTATATAACCTTTATTATAAGACGTTAGCTCTATCTGAACCATGCAATGCACCATAGTCATAGTTAGTCTTTCCTCTTGAACCTAGGTCAGTGCATAGGGCAAAGGTCATAGTTCTCCATATCTGGTTGTTCATTGTCACCTGTTTTAGGTCTTGAATGTTCATTAGGCCCATGGCTGAGCCTTCCCTGATGATGGTTCTGTGCCGGGTTTCTCTTGATCTTCCCCATTTTCTTTTCCCTTCGGATATCCATTTGAGGGCTTCATAGGGGAAACTTGTCTTATCCATTCTGAGTGCATGGTCGATGTAGTTAAAGTGGTGCTTACTTATAACATTGGATACATTACCTTGTTTGGTTCATTGTCTTATTTGCGTATTTGATCCTAAATCAATCCAGTTGTGATTTAATGCTGTTTTAAGACATCTGTTCTCAGTCCTGAGCTACCATTGCTTTCTGACTCCCACATCCATAGCTTAGCACTGCAATGACACAAGAGTTGAAGAGTCTTTAGTTTTATGTGTTTGCTGAATGTCTTTGACTGTCAGATGTTTGACAGTTTGTTAAAGGTACCATAGTTTCTTAATGAATCTAAACTGTGCACTTGTATGACTCTCTTCTACTGCAATTGGTTGTTACATTGATTGATTCTCTCATAATGGTTCCAATTTTCCAGTTAATGGTGTAATTGCTTGAATGTCTTCGGGCTTAAATGTTTCCTCTTTAAACTCACCTTGGCATACATTCCTGTAGGTGCTGAATGACACAGTGGTTCATGTGTGGAAGGACGGCTGGGAGGAGGAAATGAGCCGTGTCACTCAACTTGGCTATCAGACACTGTTGTCTTCATGCTGGTACATCAATGACATATCTTATGGTAGCGATTGGACCTCACTATACACATGTGATCCACAAAACTTTAATGGTAAATATTTTGATACATTACATAATAGGCAGCCCAACTACACATTTACTACACATTTAGCAACCTTTCATTCATAAATCGCAGTCAACATCAAGAGCGGTGTAATTATTTTGTCAAACAAGCTCGGCCGCAGCTCTGCCCATTTACACTCTAGGTCACTTTTCTTCATACTTTGTCAGGGTGCCGAACTTTGGTCAAGGCCACCGGCGTGACCCAGTGTATTCTTTTGTTCGGAAACCTTGCTGCATTGTTTTCACCGGCTGCCAATATTGTGTTTTGTGTATTCCATGATGTCAGCGTTTTTAACAGGGCAACACATGCAAGACTGACTCTAATGCAAATCCCATTACGAGAGTGCATGCATCCTATGCCCAACATATTCTCTTTCTTGGAGAGAAAACATAACTAGAAGGCAACGCAAACAACTTTTTTGAACAAAGTGGTACACCGAAACACTCCTGTAACCTTTAGAACCATTGACAAGCCAGAGCAATGACCAATCAAAAGCGACCTTCTGTGTAAGCGGCAGGACATCGGTCTAAGTTTGTGACAGCTTCCCCGGCGTAGAAAACTTAACATGCAAAGGAAAAGGTGACGCTGTCTGTTTGTGGTCAGGCGGCAGGTGGGACAGCGTCTGTGTGGGAATAGGGCTGGGTTAGGGCTAAGTGTTTGTTTTTCTTGTCCTGTGTGTAAAATCTTAAATCCATGTACCATAAACTAGTCCAGATGCTACTATATTGGGCCAGTTATCGCATATAGAACCAATATTTTTACATATTTCCTCCACCCTTTTGTTGGTAGTGTTGTTTTGACTGTTAGAGCAGCTGATAAAATACTTACTTATTGATTGTCCTTTCACTAAATACTATCAAGATTGTAAGTCTTTCTAATTATTTAGATGCTTGTGAATCTAATAACAAAGTAGGCCAAGTAAAAGCTACAGTTTTAAGGCAGAAAGTGTATTCTCAATGTTTGTTCATGTTCAGTCAAGCTCGCTGTGTTGAAGCATCTGTCAATGTGCCAGAGCAGGCTGCATGATTAGAGCCCAGAGAGTTGCTGCTTTTATAATAAAATACTTTTATTCAGTGTCTGAAAATGAGAATTATAATGCTTTTAAATTTGGTGTGCTCCATGGTAATGAATCTTTGAATGTAAACAAAAAGATCAGGACAACTTGGATGCAGTAGAAACATGGTTTCTGCAAAGAATTGTGCAAATGCCTATGACAGCCTGAATAAATAACAAGATTGCCTGAAACGGAAGTTGAAATTATACACACTATGAGACAAATTGTTTTCTTGGGGAATATGATAGGAAGAGATGCACTGGAGAAAATTAATACTATTAAAAAGATCTGCATTAAGTGAGACCAAAAATTATGGCGTACAGTAATTTCATCAATATAATTGATCCAGAATACCAGAAACCAATATATGTGGACAGACATAAATGCGTACCTAGTTTACCTTTAATTTCTGTCATCAGCCTCATGCTTTTGGGTCACTATAATACAACTTTTATCTGTGAGGAAACATTTCTACTCTTTTCATTAAAAACTCCATTCCCAGTGCTGTATAAGCACAAAGATAATGGAAGTTGCCACTCAGGTAGCCAGATTTTTTATAATGCACTGATCAAACATAAAAAGTAAGAAAATGCATGAAGTGATGAAGGTCAAGACACAACAGAAAAGCTAATCACACATCTTGCTTTGTTTGGGACTGGTAAGAGTCCAATATTCTTAACCTATACATGCACGCACATACACACAGATATATATATATATATATGTTTTGCATAATCATCAAATACAAGTATTTACAGTGTGAAATATGTTAAAAATAATGGTTATAAATAAATAAAGGTGTAAATTAATACATTGAAAAGAAAATGAATATAATTGGTTTTGGGGCAGTTAATTTGTTATTCAATTTAACATACATGTTTTTCTTGACTGAATTTCCATGTGTATTTGAGTTTATGAACATGCAGAAAATTATAGGAACTCAGTGATCATAATCAAAATGAAGTTACATTTGTATAGAACCTAATATGAGAATAAACTAAAGCTGACAGTATCATTATCCTCTTCTATGACCAGGTACTTTGGCGCAGAAGGAACTTGTTGTAGGAGGGGAGGCCTGCATGTGGGGAGAGTGGGTGGACAACACAGTCGTGCTCTCCAGAACATGGTAATTTTTATTATCTTTCTTCTTTCTTTTGTCCAATTTGTGCTGCTAGGTGTCACATGTTAACAGATGATCAGTTTCCAAGCTATGGCACGCTTAATTGCCCCAGATGCTGTGACCTTGTGAAGTCTCAAAATATCAGTGACTCCTTCATCATCTTCTTTGTCATCCCCTACCTCTCGATATTTCTACTTTCATGTTGTACACTGTTATTTCTGGTATCATTGTATCCATTCTCATTAAATGGCCAAACCATTTCAGTCTTGGTTTTTAAATGAAATTATTTATAGATGTTGTTCCAGTAGTTCTTATAATTTCTTTGTTTCTCAAATAATCTCTTTAGTTTTGTTCATGGCCTTTCTCAAACATATCATTTTGCAGGTGATTAATTTTCTTTCATGTTCTTTATTTAATTTTATAATTTGTCTTTTTATCTCTATTGGGATTTTATATTATCTTTACCTGAACTAGATATTTCTCATGCATGTTTGCTAAAAAATAGGCTGAGTGGGAGCAGACCTATAGGTTTGTGGAGAGGTGATATGCAGGTAAATCTACAAACACAAAGAGTCCAACAGGAAAAAAAAAACTTATATAGTTGAATGTGGGTTGGTAACATCTGCAGTAATGAACCTCTAGGGCTCAGAAAGCTGAAGAAAAAGGAGGAAGATGTAGAAGAGGGGGAAAAAAAGAGGAAGAAGAAGACTGATAGAACAGATAGACATTGAAATAAGAAAAGACAAGCGCACTTATACATATACTGGCACATTTATTAACCTTTTCAGCCCGAGTTATTTTATTTTCCTTAACAGTAAATTTAAATTGGTTACTGGGGGTCACATAAATTACATTTTTATATTGGTGTTTTGTCGAAGGATGATAACACTACGAATAAAATGTATAATAAAAAAGTTATAACTAGAGCACATTTTGACAAGGACAAATTAAAAGAGAAGAGAGCTATGGGGAGATAAATGGACAAATTGTTGGACAGTTTAGCATCATGGCTTATAAGTTAAAATCTACATGAGATGGATTTTGTTTTTCAAATATGACCATGGCTGCCAGATCATCCCTGCATTAAATGTACTAGGTTAAATCATGGGAAGTAAAGGCGGCAGCCATGATGCTCACCATATCACTTATCGAGGGCCAATTGGTCTATAAAATTATGAGTCTAGCTTCATATGCCTGATGCGCCACTGGTGTAGAAAGGGACTTTCTACGAGTAATTTACTTGGCTTCGTAGCACTGAGGAACAATTGTTTCAGAAACCTTCTTCTTCAGCGATCTCTGACTATGCGCTTAATCCACTATGGGCCATAAACTTCGATGTCATTTCAAGGTCTTTTAGGTGATCAGTTTCCTTAATTGTCAGTCTATTGTGTGGGGCTACATGCTGCTTCACAGCTCTGCCAAGAAAGGATAGTCTTGCAAAACATGTTCTAGCCTGTTTAGCATGAAGACATTGGCAAAGAGATGTTTGGCTCATACCTAATTTATGTGAGTGTTTGTTGATTCTGCAGTGTTCAGTGCGTAAGCAAAAAAATTTGAAATGATCTGACAGTATACATGGAAAAGGTTATGCACAGCCGTGGAGCATAATTATAAAAAGCAGCAATAATATTAACTGTGTCAGTATTTTATCAGTAGTAAAACTTCCATTTTAGCTTTTGTAATTGTTTAACATAGTCACCTTAGTGTAGCGGCTAGAGGCTTGCCTGTGGATCCACAGGTCCTGATGGAGATAGACCTTTTTTTTAAAAAAATCCTTGGCTCCCAGATTGACCTAGCATAATTATAAAAAAGCCGCAATGATATTAACTGTGTCAGTATTTTGTCAGTAGTCCACTTTACGCCTCTGTATTGTTTATCAGGAAGTCACCTAGTGTAGGCGCCTTAAAAGGATAACAGGTAAAAGTGCTGGGAAGTAAAGGAGACCAGCGTGATGCTAACCACATCATCTACTAAGTGCCAGTTGGTCTATGAAAATATAGGTCAGGCCCTATATGACCAATGTGCCTGAAGGTGTTGAAAAGGGTCCTTTATTTACTTTTACTTTACTCAATCGGTTAACAGTGTAACATACATATATCAAGCAATACAATAAAACTGTATCAATACCCACTCCCCTTTACAGGCCCAGAGCTTCCCCTATAGCTGAACGTCTTTGGAGCTCAGCAGATGTGAATGATCTTGATGCAGCTATCCCCCGTTTAGCAGAGCATAGATGCCGTATGATCAGGTAAACTGCCTTATATCATGTCTATATTTGTTATCCAGGCCTGCCTGCTTACCTTAATTATATTAAAATATCAACAACAAATAGCTACTGTAGGATAGTGGCTAGAGGTTTGTGTGCCGACTCTTCTTTCTTCTGTTGGAAACTCTAGCAGAAAGTTCGCGTTGTTCGTCAACCTCCAGACTTTAGACATTGCTCTAGAACATGAGTGTTGTGTGCACATCTATTTTTCAGATCTGGCTTTTTTTTTAAATGCAGTGTCTTGATTCCTTGCTTCTGAAGCCGATGCACTCCGACTTTGAAGCCCCAGTTAGTCAACTCCTACGCTATAACATGCTTCTTTGAAAGGCAGTGGGTCTATTCTCCCTTGTTGTTCCCCACCAGGTCATCCCACAAGCGATAAACACCTGGTGACACAAAGTGCCACCATGCGGATGAGGATCATCCATGGAGAGGACCCAGAAACCCCTTTCAGCCGTTAGGCCATATTTATGGTCCGGCTATATTGAGGGCCTCTGGCAACAGCCAGGGTGGGGCTTCAAATAATAAAAAAAATTGCATCCCACATGGGGGTGACTAGTACTAGGTCTGTTATTGTTTAGCCCAACAATGGGGTCCTGGAATCCACACAGGAAGCTAGCAGACATAAATATCTAGGGTTCACATCTGCATTAAGACTTTTCTTTCCCTTCAATATTGACCTTAGCTCCAATCTTAACTAACCCAAAATGGGTGCCAGAGGAAGTAAAGGCAACCGGAGTGATGTTGATCATATCACCCATTGAGTGCCAATGGATCTACAAAAATATAGATCCATCACTACATACTCGATGTGCTGAAGGCCGGGAAAGGGCCCTTAACTTTTACTTTAAGAACAGCAGATAGTTCTGAAATCTGCTGCTGTTTGCCTTTCTCTGAATTATCACCATTTTTTTTAATTGTTTCAGGCGTGGATTTCCTGCAGAAGAAGTGAATGGACCTGGATTCTGTGATGTTGAGTATGAAGAGTGAACTTCCGCTACACATTAGTTCCCTAAACAACTAAACATTCCTAATTAAGAATTACACATTTGCACATGATAGAATTCTATTTGTATGTTTACTTGTGGTGCAATTTACTCTATGGTTGTTCTGCATTTGCAACATTTTAGTAGATGATTTATAACATTGTTTTTACATTTTAAAAAAATTCATATCATCGGGGCATATGCAATTTTAGGTGAAGATATAAGCTTTAATTTCTTTGCATTACTGATTGGTTGTTCATTTGTTTGCTTAATGCTTATTTTGTTATATGTTAAAAATAAAATTAATCAGACACAACTTATTTAAAGGAAAAGAAAACATGTTACATTAGTGTATTTTGGTTTTCTTTTTCTTTTTATTTCCCTCTGTTTCTTGATCGTTTGTTGTAAGTATGATTCACCAAATTATAGCTTGTATGAAAGTTTATTTATGTCTGTACTTAAATTGATGTTAGATTTGTGTATCAATTAACTGTTATAACGAGGCTTTAATAGTATAATCTGTTACTCAGTTTAACATGTAAATTTTGTTTAAAAATAAAACTCATGATTTCTAGTCTTCTTAATTGACTTGTCTGTTCCATGGTAATGTTTGACGTACAAGCTCATTCTGTATACATACAGGAACAAATGCAAACTTCCCTTTATTTTGCCTGAGAATAATATTTTGTAATCTCCAGAAGCTGTCAGTAAATCATATTCATTCAGGCATTCATTGTCCTGTTCTGCCATGTATGTCACATAGGGCTCGCAATCTGTTTCACCATTCCATTCTTTCCTGTGCAATCACTTCAATGTCATGGATGGAATCCAGTTCAGAACCATTGGCTTCTCTCATCAACATTCACCTTTGGGTTTTACTTGGTCGTTCTGTGCCTGTTTGGTGATTCAACTAACTGCCCCACCACCCCCCTCCGGACCATTCTACCACCTGTCAAATTTGACCAACGAAGCTACCGTCCCCTCAACCGCTTTAGCACCATAAAAGTGGCAGCAGCACCCACTGTGGAAAGAACTGATCTAGGAAACTCCTACCAGCCCCTCTTCCCACTCAGGGTTACAGGGGGACTGGGAAGCACTCCGCCCTCCCTCTTACCCAACTTGGCCTGTAAAAATAATAAAATTACCGCTCCTAGCAACTCCATCCGGATAGTTTGAAACACTGATCTAACAAATTCAGCATATATGAGTTTTTTGGATACATTTGCCTGCAACTGTAAATGGTCTAAAGCTGTCACAGGCCTCATCATTAATTGCATTTCACATGATCATTTAACTTAGCCCGCGAAAGTCAGGGGAAATTGTATGTTTTCCGTCCTGATTTTTGTCTCCACCGCTGCCTATGTTTACTGATTACACCAAGTGCATCTGAGGCCCATTCTTTTGCCCCATAAATTCGACCGACGAAGCTACCATCCCCTCAACTGCAGTGTCACCCTCTATACGCCGAACTGGTTAGGAGGCTTCAATTGTTCCCTACCCCCCCCCCCCACCCAACAGTGACTCAATGTAGACTTGCTCCCCCCCCCCCCCCAATGAAGCTACCGCACTCTGTACCATTTTATCTGGCTTGTTGAACCATTCTTTGTCGCAACTGACAAGACCAATGAAACTGAAAATCTACTACCCCTTTGCCCCAACAAATCCAACCAAAAAAGTCCCTTCCCCCCCCCCCCCCCTGTATTTGACAAAAACAATGAAATTGAAAATCTGCCTCCCCCTGGCCCGTTCCAGCCCCCCGCCCCCCCCCCCCTCAAAAATTCAACCAATGAAGCCCCCTTAACTACCCAGATGGGTAGTACTGCCCATCACTCTTCCTCTTTCCCCCCCCCCCCCCCCCCCCCCCCCCAGCCATGATTCAGGGTTACAGTTCGCAATATTGGCAGCTCCGAGGTACAATGTATGAAACTAGTGCCCCAGTCCCCTCATAAGGATGGTAACCCAGGGCGGGTAACACTTTTATCAACATTGCAGTATCGCTGCTCCCACTCTAGTCCGTATTAAATTCAGAATCGACACCATAGCACTCGGCACAACTTATAGCGCCCCATCTTCAGCAGCAAGCGAAGAGTTTAAATTCCGATGGCACCAGTAACGTCTGATCGTATATCCGTCTTGCCTTTCCTTTGAGTGTTGAACGTCGGCAAGATCTCCTGATATTTTCTCCTCAGGCCATAATTATCTGTTTGTGCCTCCGCATTCACTCCGAAAGGGTCCTCACAGCATTTAGCTTGGCATACATCAATTCACCACCAAGTGGTAAGAAACCAGCCAGTCTATCTGCCTGCTCATTTCCCAGTACACCTGGAGAAGGTACCCAAAGGATGCTAACTAGCCGGGAACTCTGACATGTTGCTAATTGATTCAAGTCATTTATTACTGCTATTACTGCTATTATTATTGTTATTATTATTATTATTATTTGAATACTCTGACGATTCTTTTCCCGTAAGTGCCAAAAACAGTGAAAGTTAAAATCTACCGCCCCTTGAACCCGTTCCACTGCCCAGAAATTAGACCGAAGAAGCTATTGACCCCTCAACTACCTGCCAACATTACACCTGGACCGTAACTCACTGTTACTTACAGTTCCTAAATGTAACACGTAAATAGTCGATTGAAACCTTGTCGCACATAGTCAGCCTCAGAGACCTACAGATAAGTCATCCCCGTTTCGGGATCGCAGACTGACAAATTGACTCCCAATGATACAACGGCCACAATTTGACTCAGAATCCAAGTAAAGTAAAAGTAAAGTAAAGATCCCTTTTCACGCCTTTGGGCGCATCGGGCATATGGGCAGAGCGTCCCATATTTTTACAGACCATCAGCACTCTGTGGGTAATGTGGTCAGCATTACGCCGGCTGTCTTTACTTTCCCAGGACAGCCCATCCTGGTACCCATTTTAGGCTGGGTCGACCTGCGACGTCCCATACCACGACAAAAATCCACGCAGCCTGCAGTGGGTTTCGATCGCGGTATGCTGGCTCACGAGTCGGACTCGCAACGCCTTAGCCACGGATGAAAAACATCTAGAATCCAAGAAACTCAGCTAAACTGTATTTTCTTCTTCTTCGCGTTCACCTGCAATAAACACCATGCTCATGTTTTGGTTGTTCTACCACGTTTGGGTTTGGTCTTATTCTAGAACTTAAGTTTTGCGTGCACATTTCTTTTACAGATCTGGCTCTTTGTATACGGACTTTTGGTTCCTCGTATCTCATGTAGACCCACTCTGACTTCGAAGGAAACACTTTGGGGAAGAAGAGGCAGCTAGTTTACTTCCACCCCTCTCTCTCTCTCTCTCTCTCCCTCTCTCTCTCTCTCTCTCTCTCTCTCTCTCTCTCTCTCTCTCTCTCTCTCTCTCTCTCTCTCTCTCTCTCCCTCTCTCTTCCCACAACAAGGGCTCCGGACCCAGACAGTAAGCTCAACCGCATAAAGCAATGTTTCCTGAGCAATCGGTGGCTACAACACAAACTGCTGTATAATGGGAGTAGGTTGTGCGTCACCAGCCGAGGCTGAACGAGTAAAGAGTGGGTTGTGTGTCCCCAGTCGGGACGGAACGAGTAAAGAGTGGGTTGTGTGTCACCAGCCGGGGCTGAACGAGTAAAGAGTGGGTTGTGTGTCCGCAGCCGGGGCTGAACGAGTAAAGAGTGGGTTGTGTGTCCCCAGTCGGGGCTGAACGAGTAAAGAGTGGGTTGTGTGTCACCAGCCGGGGCTGAACGAGTAAAGAGTGGGTTGTGTGTCCCCACCCGGGGCTGAACGAGTAAAGAGTGGGTTGTGTGTCCCCAGTTGGGGCTGAACGAGTAAAGAGTGGGTTGTGTGTCCCCAGTCGGGACGGAACGAGTAAAGAGTGGGTTGTGTGTCACCAGCCGGGGCTGAACGAGTAAAGAGTGCGTTGTGTGTCACCAGCCGAGGCTGAACGAGTAAAGAGTGGGTTGTGCGTCACCAGCCGAGGCTGAACGAGTAAAGAGTGGGTTGTGTGTCCCCAGCCGAGGCTGAACGAGTAAAGAGTGGGTTGTGTGTCCCCAGTCGGGACGGAACGAGTAAAGAATGGGTTGTGTGTCACCAGCCGGGGCTGAACGAGTAAAGAGTGGGTTGTGTGTCCGCAGCCGGGGCTGAACGAGTAAAGAGTGGGTTGTGTGTCCCCAGTCGGGACTGAACGAGTAAATAGTGGGTTGTGTGTCCCCAGCCGGGGCTGAACGAGTAAAGAGTGGGTTGTGTGTCCCCAGTCGGGGCTGAACGAGTAAAGAGTGGGTTGTGTGTCCCCAGTCGGGACGGAACGAGTAAAGAGTGGGTTGTGTGTCACCAGCCGGGGCTGAACGAGTAAAGAGTGCGTTGTGTGTCACCAGCCGAGGCTGAACGAGTAAAGAGTGGGTTGTGCGTCACCAGCCGAGGCTGAACGAGTAAAGAGTGGGTTGTGTGTCACCAGCCGGGGCTGAACGAGTAAAGAGTGGGCTGTGTGTCACCAGCCGGGGCTGAACGAGTAAAGAGTGGGTTGTGTGTCACCAGCCGGGGCTGAACGAGTAAAGAGTGGGTTGTGTGTCCCCAGCCGGGGCTGAACGAGTAAAGAGTGGGTTGTGTGTCCCCAGCCGGGGCTGAACGAGTAAAGAGTGGGTTGTGTGTCCCCAGTAGGGACTGAACAAGTAAAGAGTGGGGTGTATGTCACCAGCCGGGGCTGAACGAGTAAAGAGTGGGTTGTGTGTCCCCAGTCGGGACTGAACGAGTAAAGAGTGGGTTGTGTGTCCCCAGTCGGGACTGAACGAGTAAAGAGTGGATTGTGTGTCACCAGCACTACTTCATTTTATGAGTGTCAATCAATACCTTATTTGTTTATTATATATATAAAACTTTCATTATTCCGGGCGAAGCCATATACTAGATTTAATTGCCTTGCTTCGCCAGGGATAATGAAAGAAAGTTTTGTTCTCCTGTTCTCTACCTCATATTGGTCTCCACCGCTGCCGTATATGTGGCAGAAACTC